ATTATTGCAGTAATATGCTATGTATCTGCTCAACTCGGTAACATTTACACACAAGATATTTACTGCATAATCACTCAAGCTTACAAAAAACCTCGTAGGTTTTTCACTGTGCTATAAAATAGGACTATGTGCCTACATAATACATAATAATGCCTCTTTAAAGCCAAAATTTTGTGCCGTTTTTGTTTTCTTAGTAAATTTCAGAATATATCACAACATGCAAAATTGTGACTACAGAGCTTTTATTTGAAGTTATTTGAAAATAAGCAGTTTCTCATAAATTAACTTGCTCATTCCTAGAAGTAAACAGTTTAAGCTTGAGTGGAACTGACCGTCATTTATCTACCACAAGTGTCATAATGTTAATTTTACCTATCATTTTCTCTTGGTAAAGCTGGAGACAATTACAAAAAAAATAAGTAAAATACAATATAAAGAGTGTATGCAAGTTCAGAGGAGCAACAGTTGCTAGTTGTCACTTATTTCTTGTTTTAAAAAAATGTTACATTATCATTAGACACACTTCAGAAATTCCACATCTGTTACCAAAACTGCCACGATTCCTTCGTCTTGTACTTCAGTGCTCCTTGTGTTCAAGGTTTATCATCATTCCGGGTCCCGTAACAGATGAGCTACAAAGCTCTGACTACAAATCACAGGTGGTGGGAATTTTCAGAGCACTTATTTTATTGGTTCTTCAGCTCAAAGAGATGATTACACAGAGTGCTTCTCAGAAGAATGCTTGTCAGATTGACAGACTTATCATAAGTGTTGTGTAGCGCCACAAATTTCTACCACAGTTCACAAATGCAAACTAGAAAACAGGACACAATCATAGTGCGATGTATACGTTTTCCCTCCTCTCATACTCCTACACATTCAGGCCTTCTCTGAGTCAATTAGCATGACTCCAAACAAAATGCCCTCACCACTTCCAGATGGAGCTTCCAACACTCCTACACATGAGAGAACACTCTTGTTAAACACGTCTTGTTAAATGAGTTAAGTATCAATAATTGAATGAGATAAGGATTTGCTCCATGTACAAACAGTTGTTTGACAATGTGTCGGTGACGAAGAAAAACAACAGTGATGGTCATAAAGTGGCCGTGACACTAAATTAGAGCCAAAGGAACATTCTATGGCACCAAGTTTGACATCTTACGTTGTAGCAGCACATTATTATACAAGTATTATCTCTGAGTGAGTGAAACTTGCACTAAATGTGTTCATTTCCTTTTCATCTAAAATTTAAATCAACAGCATACAGATGGAGGAACTTTTCTTCACTCAGTCACAATTTTTTTTGCTTCTTCTTCTGTTCCCCTTTTTTGTGGGAAATGTTTGTGGCATAAATGTACCTCTCTTCTCTCGCAGCCGTCAAATCATAACAAATAATCTTTAATTGTTCTGTTTACAACTGTTCCACAGACAAGCCAGACATTACAGGAAGTCGCTATTTATCCACTTACCGACACCCACGTAGGCACAAACGTCTAACATTTAAAATGGTTCAGATGAAAAAAAAATGGCACTGTGACACATCAGATTATCAATGAACATACTTCTTATCTTGAAATCACTATTTCATTCTTTATGTTTCTTCATGCTTTTAAAGATATTTTCATTAATTGTTTGTTGCTGCCATACATTTGAAACTGACTTTTAAAACAGCGCAGGATTTTGTTTTAGGAGCCATCTATAGTATTTATTTGTCTTTTTTGTTTTGTTTTTTTCTGTTGTAAACTGAGTTTTAAAAAAAAAAATCATGGCCTGTTTTTCTGTGTGCGACTTGCAAAACCATTTTTTTTTCTTTCACTAACAGTCTTCTTCAATCCTTATGGACATTCAGAGTGAAAAAGCAATTAAAAGTATGAGCGCATTAGTGAGTGACTGCAGATCCCCCTGTGTACATCTTTGGGCTTCCAACAAACAGCACACAACTCTGTGTTGTGGGAAAGACTTTGAGGTAGCAGAGAGCGCAGGAGTATGTTGTAGTCATCAAAAATGTCTAGTTGGTGAAGCAGGAGAACATTCTCTCTTTGGAAAATGTTGACAAATCGTTAACTGGAGTCATGAGCTAAATAACAGGGAAGAAAGCAGGACAGTATTTTTTTTTTTTTTTTCCTGTCCCATCTAGGTATTTTAGAAATACCATGTGGAGAAACTTGTTGCCAACATGTGCCAGGGCAGATCTGTTGTACAAAAAGGATATATCCAGACGAAAATTGACTTTAATAACATTGATCTGGCTTCTAGATGCAGTTAGTCAGTGTGGTGCTCACCATTGCTCATGCAAGACCCACTTGGTCACCTTCTCAGCACAGCCTCAGCAAATGCAGCAGGCCCAGATGTGGTTAACAGTGAAATCATGCAGGTTTCCAGGACGGGTCGTGCACAGGACAGTGGAGTTGACTAAATTGGTTCTCCCTGTCTATCCAAGATTCATTTCCATTATCAGATCCTGCATGGCGTAGCGCAACTCTTCTCCATTTTTTTTTAACTCACTTCAGGTTCTACAAGCTGCACCAAGCTGCACCAAGCTGCACCAAGCCGCACAAGCGATTTGATAGCAGACTGCATTTGTTGATTGGCTCATGATTTACATCACTGCAAATTCTAAACTACATTTCAACCACCTCAGTAGACAGACTGACATGATGTCTGCTATCAGGCTGCTGCTCAGTGTGAAGGAGGGTAATTATGAGTTTAATCTTGAGGAGCACGAGGATCATAGGCGTCAACTTTTAGAGCAGAATGACAGTGATTTAGCAGCCCTGCAAACAGCATAGCTTACTGAAGAACGACCACGCATTGAAGAAGCTAGAAGCTGTGCAGCTCTGGTCAGCTATAGTTTGGTGTTTGGTGCTGGCAGGTGAGAAACTCCAGAACTACATAATATTAGTTTGGCATGATGTGCATTTTTTTCCTTGTTTGGAATTTTCTTTTAAATAAAGTCATTGCTTGGATATCGGTTTACTTCTTTTGACTACATTACCTAAATCCAAAAGGTTAAACATGTTTAAAACATAAAAATAAAGTGCTAAATTATAGATACATGTGTTGTCAAATAAAAATAAAGTCTAAGTTCAGCTAATCTGAACTGCTTTCATTATGTTTGGGCCAGCAGTGAGAAAATAAGACAAAATGAAATATCTTGCCATTTAAAACCAGATCCTCCAGGTTCTCCTGATTCAACTATAGCTCCTGGTAACCCATAGCCTGCCCACATTCCTACTTATATTCACGCCCACAATAAGGAACACACTCCAACAGATATTAACCAGTTAGAATGAGACTTAGTAATGGAGAAGCAGCTTAAATGTGCTGTTGTTTCTTTGTGGTTCTCAGAGAGTGCATTTTACATTAAGGGCACCTTGAACTCAAGGTGCCTTGTTAGTGGGTTACTACACCTTTTTGCCAGTAAAAAAAGAAATGTTGATCCCAGTAAATACTTAAAGTACAGCAGGACTAATATGACTAAGAATAAAATTTTAAATTCAAATAAATGCTTATGCATCTTTGCAATTGCAAAATTACTAAGGTGATTTTGGCTCTAAAGATTTGGTTATTAAATACTGGTTGGTAGGCATAAATGTGCCCTCGGACGTCACCATTTACCACAATTTTATTTGGATACAATAGATTTTTCCTGGCATATCAATGGCAAACACTATTTTTTTCTATTTTCCAGATAACAAAGTGTTATTTGGCAAAAACCCAGTATTGACGTTAGTATATTTAAAGGTGTATGCCGTTATTTTAAATGAACCCTTAGTCGTGCCCTAACCTGGCTTGTGGCTCCACCCACTGTGGTGGATTTTTTTCTATGTTTGTTAGGGGAGGTGTCTGCTTACCCAAAAGGTTAGTTACACTTTAAGTATGACCATAAAAAAATAAACGAGACCGTTAACACACAGCTAAAGCGTCTTACCTTGTCCTGACACATGAACTATATGAAAGTAGGGGACATTAGAAGCCACACCCACGCTTCACAGATGCGAAAGGACTTGCAGACTGGAGCGGGTGCACATCTAATACAAGAGAGAGGGAGAGAATTTCATTTAACCTGAGTACAACCATAACGTCAGCCACTTGCCGCTGGGCAGGACCAGATGCTCTGTCCTTCATGCTTGTTTTCCAGCTCCTTCTTCAAGCATGCCAGTGGACGCTCACAGACTTGTCCAATTTTTCAAATGAAAATCTTGCACCCCTGATTCTGTGCTATGTACTTTGCCTTCTTGCTATTCAATTTACCTTGGCAATACCAGTTTTATGGCTATGACATTAAACTTGGAATAAATTGTTGCCGTTTCTTTCTTTCCTTCTTTTCTTTTGTTCTACCTTTCTTGCTGTCTTTGCCTTCCACATTGACCTACTTTTTATTTAATCCATGCATAAAAGGAAATAGATTTAATCTAAGAATAACTATTATTATCTGAATTAATTGAACACATTTCAGATTGGTTGTCGTGTTCGTCTAATTATTGTTTTGTCAGTCCTTGCATCAACTATCAACAATAGTCCAGTAACAATATTGCAAATATCACACAGACATCTGCTTCTTTTCAATACACAAATCCTGAGGTGGATGTAAAACTGAATAGGACATGCTTGCCTCTTGCATGCAGTGGATTTTAGCACATTAAAAGTGACAGTGTGTATTGTAGTGTAAAAAAAAATAAAAAATAAAAATAGAGACGAATTTTAGAGATGACTCAAATTATCTCATCATGATACACACCAGAAATATTTGCCTCAACATAATTTCAAGCTTAGTAAATCATAAAGTCACTATTCAAAAACAACTTCCTCTAGGGAAAGTCTAAACAGCTTGTAATATAGTTTAATTTTCTGAAGAGACAATTTTGTTGTTTATATTGAAATCAGATTCCGCATTCCTTTTCATAATTGTTTTCATGTTTATTTCTCTTTGTTTGCCATTAGTGAATTTCTTTCTCAGTATGAATTATCATCTGGCTCTGCTTTGCTTCTTTTAGGTGACCGAAACAAGGACGGGCCCACTTGGATGCAGTAACTATGACAACCTCGACTCTGTCAGCTCTGTTTTGGTTCAGAGCCCTGAAAACAAGATTCATTTGCAAGGTTGGCCATCCATAATTGAACTCCCCCCAATTTCTGAAGGAATTGTCACAGTGTCTGTTCCCTGGCAAGTTTATAACTACAGCGCGAGAGTGTCAGAACAAATTTAGCTTCAATCACTCTTTCTTTTTTTTTTTTCCCCAGTGCATGCTTGCAAAGTTTTGAGGTAAATCCCAACCAGCAAAAATCCGGAACGGAAGTAGAGTAACTGTGGAGTAAAAATAAAATTGAGTGAATCTTTGCATAAATGTTTTTGTTGCCAAGCATGTGCATTGTAAATAAGAAAGTCACAATCAGTCTTAAATCAATTACTCTACAGATGTTGCACACAGAAGTGATCTACAGTATACTTATACTACAGTGCTTAAAGGACATTTGTGCAGTTCTTGTTTTATTCATCTATATGTTTGTCCTGTTTCTTTTATTGCTTCAGGCCTCCAGGCCATACTGCCAGAATATCTGAGAGCCAGGTTTGTGCAGGCTGCTCTAAGTTATATTGGCTGTAATGAAGAGGGCCAGTTTGTGTGCCGGGACAACGACTGTTGGTGCCAGTGTGCTGTCGACTATCCGCAATGTAATTGCCCTGAGGTTGATCTGAGGGCTATGGAAGGCAGTTTACTGCAAATCAGAGATTCATGGAACATGGCCAACCAAGACTTTGAGGCATCAGGTCAGTGTTATTCTCCTGTCTCTCCCTGATTGATGGTGGTGCTTTCTCTGGGGAAAAGAATGCAATCAATTGTCAAAAGAGGTGAAAAGGATAGAAATGATTGGTTGATAGGAGAAATTAGCTGTGATGTATTTACTTTGGCTCTTCTCTTGATGAAAATATAAATTAGAGATATATCTGGTGTTGTGCAGCAACATGTTGGTTTGGCTACAAATTATTATTGATGAGGAGCTAAGACAATTATGAAAGTTTGTCATTTTAATCTAAACTACTAAATTAAGGCACTGCCTGATTATACTGAAGTAATAGTCAAACAGCTCTGTTGCTGTCAGTTACTGTGTAAGGTTGTCTGCCTTGTGAGATACAGAATAAAAACATTTATCTAAAAGAAAATATTTTAATAACAAAATACTTCAAGATTCAGTTAAAATACTTTTGTCCAGATACTCTAACTATGCTAGTAAGATTCAGTTTAACTACTAAGAAAAAAAAAAAAAAAAAAAAATGAAGAAAAGAAAAACAAACTATTAAACTACTATAGGGGAAAATTGAGGCTGCTGCCAACTCATCTAAGTCCCATATTTAAGCGCCACTAATACATATAATACATACGTGAGTGTAGGTGGTGTGCTCTGACCGACCGCGGTACGAACACAGTGAGCTGCGTAGTAACAACATCAGGACTAATGGTGGATCACTTCTTAGGCAAGAGAAGTTTATCTGTATAACACATTTCAGAAACAAGTAAATTGAAGGTGATTTAAATTATGAAAAGATAAAACAAGAAGCAAGGAACACATATTCAATTTTCTCAAATGCCATCATCAAAATCATCACCATAAAATATTTCCATAAAGACTAAATTAATTGATGTTCTACTCACTAGTAATCAACTCTTAGTAAATTATTTGAGCTTTGATTTAAAATGAACTCATTGTTTCAGCATTTTTCTGGAAGTTTATTTCAGATTAGAGGAACATGCTGATTCTCCCTGTTTGGTTCTGATTCTGGGAATGCAGATCAGACTTGAACCGGAAGAACTGAGTGGTCTGGAAGGCTGACACAATGACACCAGGTTTATAATGTATTTTAGTGTCAATTATTTCAGTGATTTCTAAATCAACTAAAGTATTTTAACATATACTCTTTGAGCTACAGGGAGCCAGTCTAAGCACTTTTAGAATGGAGATGATGTGCTCTATTTTCCCAGTTTCAGAAAGGATGTGAGCATTAGCAGCTGGGATAACGGAGACAGAATTGCCTGTATCTATGATCAGATTCTTTCTGCATGAGCTGAGCCAGCCAGTTTCAGACTCCTAGTCTCATTTTCGGTTGGGTTACAGTCGTTGATTATACAGCAGACAGCAGACCACATTTTACTTTGGATCCAAGGACTTCTTTGTTCAAGATATCGTCCTGTTCTCAGCCAACAAGACTTTCACACGCCTGTCCTCCATGACGCAGTCTGTGGAGAGCTTCAGGCAAAGAATTTGAACATTGCTCTGCTCATGTTGCTATACCTCTATGACATCACGGAGATTACAGCTGTGGGGATCTCCTCCTTCCAGCAAGCTGTCATGAAAACGGGTTAATACTATGCTTGGTCGAGTTCAGAGTTGTTGCCAATCATGTAGTCCATGTTTCTATGTGGCTTCTGTATATCTCAAACTGGTTTTACAGTCAGCCTTACTTCACTTGTAAATCTTTCTTTTTGTTGAATCAAAGCTCTTGTGCAGAACCATAACCTTAGATGTGAAACAGCACCAAAATTGACTTTCAGACATTTATTTATTCAGGAATTATATTAGACTATAGCATGTCAAAGATGGGTGCATGTGCAGGTTGCTATACTATGTTCTGCCAGAAGCATGCATTTGTATGTGTGGTTTTGGATTGGCTGAAAAACTCCATAAACATGACACTTGGTATTAGGACAAATTTTACATTAGATATTAGAACTAATATAAAGCTGAAAGATGATGTTTTAAATTCAGAGCACACTACAATATACAACCCAGGGTTACCAAAACAATTTGTATTTACTAATTGCCAGAATAATACATGAGATAAATGCATTTATTTATTTAAAGATTGTCCAGAAAACCGTAATTGGTGCAACAATATCCAAAACATAAGGCCGTTATCTTTCTACTTCCCAGTTGGGATGGCAATCTCAAGTGTCTCGTTTTCGTTCAAATTTAACAGTCTTCATTACAGCCCAACTCTACCATTTTAGTTTCATCAGACCACAACACATATCTTCAAAAGTTTAGGCTGAATCCCAGAGTGCAAAACGTAATTAGTGTTTTTATGTAGCTTTTTTTTACTAATAGCTTCTTCCTCACTAGTTTCCCTGTGGATAATGACTTTCTGACACTAGCTTCAGCCTCCTCATCATGACTTTTGCTGCTGTTAATTTGCACATTTCACACCAATATACATTTTATCTCTGAGGCACACAGCCCCTCTGCTTGCAATGGTAAGATGGCCAGACATGCTCATTGTGTTTATTCTTTGTATGAACCAGGGATGTGGTAGATTTAGACATCTGAGGCTTCCACCTAGTTAGCCATTACATATTTAACTATATAGTAAATATGATATATTTTCAAAATAATGTAAATCAACTTTTAGCACATTTTTTGATGGTGAATTAAATGTTAAATGATTATAAGATAACTGATGATAAATATCTAAAGGCTGAAATACAATTATCCAACATTCTTATGGTGATTTTGGAATAAAGACAAACATTATAGGTGTAGATTTGTAACTTGCAGGATGCAGGGTAGAAGGTGCACTAAACATTTTGGATTTATTGGGAAAAGGTTTTTAGTTAAAGACTTGAAACTTGATCCTGAATTGGAATAAATGACCTGACTTGAGATTTGCCCTTTAAAGACATGAAACTCTGAAAAAGAAGATTTGTCAATATTTCTCTTGTAGGTAGATAGGTCAGTTTTAATAAAAAAAATAAATAAATAAAACAAAGTTCTGTGATAATTCTGCAAACATGAATTGTTGCAAAACCACTGAGGTGATTTTATTATTGCTAGCTGTTTTCAAAAGACCTGTGTTTCCTTTCTACATGAGACAATGTCCTCTGTGTATGTCATAGGAATGATGAGTTAATAAAAATCTGACAGTGGCTTAAAGCAATGCTGTTTAACAATTGTGCAAGATTTCTATGTGACCTAACAGAATCTGAGACATCGAAGAGTGAGCTGACTCGGTGTAAGCATCATTGAGTGTTCAAAGCACATCAACCTAATTCTTGACATTTATACATGTATCTGATGGTGGCATTTTTGCCTCTGTGTTTGTATTTAGATTGTTTGGTCCAGGAAACAAAAGTGCATGTGAATTGATGTGACTGGATCAACAGTGAATCAGTCAAATGAAGACCCTCCAGTAGCCTGAGGAGAATGTGTCATGCCCTAGAAATGAACCACAGTTGCTATAATCCGTTAGGAGCACATGATGTAACCTCTAATATAATACTTCACGGCTCAGTTATTGCCATTTTGTCTGTTAGCCTTATTTAATGTTTCTTGATAAACATGACAAAAAAGAGCACATCAACAGACTTCCGATGATCATTTTTAATTCAATTTCCATTTATGATCTGACAAACTGTCTCGTGTAAACAATTTGGAGGTTACGTCAAACACTGCCTCCATTCTGCGAATTCTTTATTTTTGTACCGCTCTCAACTTGTCTGTTTTTCTGTGTTATTTCCAAAACTTAGCTGCATTCACGAGCACATCACTGTTTGAGACATTTCCAGCTTTGCCTTGAGCCGTTTTCAGAACACCTTGCTGGTTCAGACCATTACCACTGGCTACATGTTTCTTCACTGAGAGCGACTCGATTAGCACATTCTTGGCAATAACTTAAGCAGCAAGGTGCACTGAAAGCACAGTTTCAGTGCAGTATTTATTAAAGAAAAATAAGGTCCTATGAACCCCCTGTGGACCTACTTGCACATTTGATCATATGGAGAACAACTTACAGCCTTACTAGAAAGATTAATAATCATAACTCTGATTGTTAAATTAGGTTTCTGCTGTCAGCTGATGGTAGATATGATTTGCTTTGATCTCACGCTGAGCGTTACATGTTTTATTGAAGAGATTATATTTTTTTTCCAGCTAGATCAGTTTCTCAATTCATAATGGACAGCAGGATTTTTGTTTTCTGGTGCTCATACACAGTATTGTGTAGGAGAACAGAACTAAAACACAACAACCCAGACACACAACAACCTCTATACTGGAATGTACCTACAAATCCTAACAAAGTCACGCTTTAAGCGAAAATGTTGTCTCTAAAAAATGAACACAATTGTCTGTACACAATCCATCAATTGTAAACTGTTCGAGGCAATTAGGAGAACATTTAGCATATCTTAGCTTAACTGGCTCATAATTTTATCATGGAAATTAGACTAAAATCTGAAAGTTATTTTTATTATGCCTAATTATTATTATGTCTAATTATTATGGTAAATTGACAGAATTTATATAGCACCTTTCCAGTCATAATGACCAGTCAAATCACTTTGCACAACAGATGCATTCACAAATATATTGGAGTTAAGCGCCTTGCGTGGAAGTAAAGCAGCCTTCCAATTGCAAGACGACTATCAGAGTTGCCTCAATTATCTATATGTACTCCACCCAAATCGCTTTTTTGTCTTACTTCTCCAGTTAAAAGTGCCATTACATTTTTCAATTAGTGGCTGATAAGATAATAATGGTGTGTAGATAGCAAATTTCAAGCAGTGAGGTTTTATTTCAATGAGTGTTAAATGTCTTCTAGCTTCATTTCGCAATTCTGTAGTTTCCTGAACATACATGATTTTAATCATCCTAAAGCTTGCAAAAGTTCACTTCAGTGTTTTAAGTCAATATGTTGGCATGTACCATGATGCATTGTTTTTTTTTTTTTTTTTTTTTTTTTTCTTTCAGCCTTTACTTGCAGTTTTTTCTTCCTCATTTCTTTTAATAGCTTCTGTTAGATCTATTTGCCTCGCCTCGGCACACTTGCAAATAACCACTGAGCTTTTTTTTTTATTGCATGTCATGACAAATGGTGTTTCAATAACTCAAACAATGAAAGATGATGAAGGGTGGATGTTGTTTGCCATCCAAAAGCATGATATATTTCATCCCTCGCAGGATCATTGTTGTTGAAAAATTAAATAGACCACAGAACCCTGCTGCTAATGTTGATATGTTCAGTGCACACGTGTAGAGCATTTGAACAGAAAGACAGTCATTTTTTCTTGTACTGTAAGACCCTGTTTTTTTTACATATTATAAGACAAATACAACTAAATCTGCCTAAAATATGGACTCTATATGGCATTATTGAATGATTCAGTGCCTTTGAAATATGCATATCCACTGCACCTTAGAACATGTCACGTTTAAATGCCATACTTCCATATTTTAAAAAGGATTTCATGTGATAGAACAGAAACCAGTGCAAAACTGAGACAAGGAAGGAAAATAATAACCAAATTTTCTTTTACAAATAAAGATCTGGGAAGACTAATGCATTTGTAATTGCCCTTTTTTCTGTTATCCCAAAATAAATGCTATCCCTACATAAGCTCTAGTGCAACCAGTCATTCAAATGCACATAAGGATTACAGTTGTGAAGAACTTTAAAGTAGGGTTGGGTTGAACATTGCAAGCTTGTTTTTTACACAAAATCAGACACACAAGGGCAAGGACCTTCCACTTATAGAGACAGACTGAGGAAGATTTGAATCAGATGTAACTTAAGTGGCCATGGTAACGGTTAAAGGGTTGAAGAAATCCACAGCTCAGGTAAAAAAAAAAAAAAAAAAAAAAAATCAATTAACTTAAGTATTATGATTCTAAACATAGAGCTAGAGATTGATTTGAGTTCATTATATCAGAACATATTTGTTTTACTGAAAGTACAAACTTACAGCCAACTGTGAATCTGTGCCTTTAACAAAAACATTTCTGTTCAGAGTCTCTTTCAACAAAATGACAGAGTTTAAATTATTTAGCAAAAAAAAAAAAAAAAAAAAAAAAAAAATGAGAAGGTGATGGAAATCCTCCGCAAAATACCTACAACTACAATGATTGCAGTGACAGGCAATTCTGCATTATCGACTCAGGTTACAATTTCCAGATATTTATAAAAGCTTTGTGAAATCTATTTCTTTTTTGCTTCCACTTCCCTACTTTGTGTCGCTTTGTCAGAAATAAATTCCAATAAAATTCTAATACAGCTTTGTAACCTGCACATAAAGGAATTTCCAAAAGTAGCAATACCTCTTGGACGTTCACACTTTGTCATTGTTCATGTGGACCCAAATGCTCATTTACACAGAAATATTTCCTTACAATCTTGTTTAATCAATACATGAGTTTCCCAGGACAACAACACACACCTTGCACAATCACTTGGGAAGCTATTGACACCTAATTGGTTTTCTAATCAGCTGCCTCATCATCACGATAGCGTTAAGTAATTACAAACAGCAGCACGGTCATTTTCTAATCAGTCTTGCACATGTTTGATTTTCAATACATCCAATCATGATGATGACGACGGTGATGTTGTTATTGAATGCCTGGAAATCTAATCTGCTTTCTATTCAGAATGCATCCAGTAAACAGTTGCTCTGAATTGCTGACAGATATTATCCTCTGAGCTCCATGTCCACCTTGTTTTTCTCCCCGACTGATTTGCATCCAGAGCATTGAAAGACCTGTAGGCTGTTCATTAATGAAAAGGGGGAGAACCCTACCCCAATCTGTGTTTAGCCCTGCCTTTTCCCATTAGCACACACGTCAACCAATATTCTTCTCATTTAGCCCTGCAGCACTTGAAATCCCACGACCCTTAAAACGAAATGTTCTCATTTGCCATGTCTAAACTAGCCAAATATAATTAGAGCAACGTAAAAAGAAGTTACCTCGCCCTGAATGTGACAGGAAGAAATTGAGATTTTCATTTTTCACATCTTTCTGCTTTCCAGAAGAGTTTCAAAATTTTGTTCGACGGCTTCCCACATTCTACGCCCTGAACTCGTCTGCCATCCAGTATTTCTGGAAGACGGAGCCGTCCATTCACCAGCGCTACAAACAGCTAGAGCTCGGCACACAGCAGCTTGCAAGCAAAGCACGGCGCATCATCAACAAGATCTTCACCCTCAGCAAGAGATGTCAAACTCAGCCAAAAATTATTATGCTACGGGAAAGGTGAGAAACTGAGAAGTTTTTCTGATGACCTTTTTTTTTTATTTTTTATTTTTACACAGAAGTGGATGTATGCGTTTGTGGAACACATTTAATTTTTCCATTCACCGATTTGTGCAGTGCTTTTTTATCAGACGAACGAGGCATCGCATAGTATGGACACACAATGAATGAATTCTTTGACATTAAGCTGAGCTCCTGCTGAACTAAGCTGCAGTCACACCTGATCTCTTGGCTGCATTTCCCATCCATATCTTCTTTACTTTCACAAAATCAGAACTATCCTTCTGTGAAATTAAAGTTTGCTGTATTTTAAAGAATGTTACATTTCTGAAATGATAAAAATAAGGGATTTGCCTAAACATAAATGAAGCATAGGATTGTTTTGTTCATCTTTAGATAATCTAACATTTGTTTTCTGTTTGCATAATCTTATTTGAAATATAAAGTTAGCAACAAAAAGTTTGTATGCATGCATGAAATTGTTGTCTTAATGATTATTTTTATTATATGTAGGAGAAAATCTTGACTTTCACCTTATTTTGGTAAATAAACAACATAAGACAAAGAAAAAAAAAGACTACTTTACAAACCTATAATTTATCAAAAAAGGAATAATGAATTGAATTAAGGATTATTAGGAGAAAATCTAAATACATCTATATTAAAATGAGATTAATTTTATTCGTCCTTATGCAAGAAAAACATTCCTTTTGCAAAAGCAGAACTCATCAAGACTGCAGATTTTTCATCTTAATTGTTAAAAGAATGTATGTTTTCTTTTTCGCTGGTGGAGTTTTTAATGTTTTGTTTAGACAGAGATTTTCAATCCATATTTATGTGGTAAAGTTGTAGCTTCAGGCATAATAGCCAGTGAAATATAGAGCTGATGCACACTTTGCAGTTTTATGAGAATACATTGCTCTTTTTTCTTTTTCTAAATTACTTTTTCCCCCCTCTTACGTTCAAGAGTTTTGCTTCATTAACTCTTTGCACCCCAAGCAGTGTTTTGGTATTGTTTGCTCTGTCACACATTGTGTTCCTCGACACAAACATTGTTTTGTTGTTGCTGGATAGTAGAGAGATGATTCATGTTTTCAAATGAACTTGTCAGTGGAAATGGAAGATGTGTGGATAATTTGACTGCTACGTAAGCCATTTCTGATGTCCAACATAAAAGGGAAAAATTTCTGAAATGATAAAAATTTCTCATTTATTTTCACTTTAAGAATGTCAGCTTTTACATGATGTTATGTTAAGAAATCACATGGTCTCTTCTGGTGTAAAAGTTAGTGTAATTATTTACATTTTTAAAGGAAGCATTATTTGAAAAAAAAAAAAAAAAAGATAGTCTTAAACCTTGTTGAAGTCCTACCGTAATAGACATTACAGAAGAACTAGAAATTCTGTAGTTTGCTGCAGTGAGATATAAATTTATTACGCCAATTATTGCTTTACTACAGGGGTCCCCAAACTTTTTCCTGCGAGGGCCACATAGCTGTTCCTTTTTCTGGTCGGGGGCCGGTCTTAGTTTTTGGAGAAAGAAACCTTAGAAAATTCTCGTCTACGGTGGGGGGGAGGGCTGTTCTGTCGCGCTTTTAGATAGATTTTTACCCAGAATGCAAATGGAAAAAACCGTGAGTGTAACGGTGACTGGGACTGACTGGTATGTATACCATTGAGGGAAAGTAAGTTTCACATCTGCTCAAGAGCCCCCTGGTGGTTGAAGAAAAATCCACATATAAACCAGAAAATACAATATATGAAAAAAAAAAACACTGAATGCTCTCTGGTATGAGGAGGCGGGCCAGATCCGGCATTGTTCAGGGGGCCGGCCCAAATGCCGTGGCGGGCCGGATCCGGCCCGCGGGCCGAAGTTTGGGGACCCCTGCTTTACTAAATGGAGTGAAGAATAAGTTGGAGTTGTACTAAGCAGGATGTAACAGTGCAGTTATTTTTCATAAGTTTAAGCAGGTCTCCATTTAGGACAATAGTTTCAGTCTGGGGTTTGGGAGGTTTGAACTACAATCCTCAGTAATTGTCTCGTCTCAAGATCTTCAAAGATAACATAGCATTTGTTTCCCATTGGCTACTCATCTTCAGAATGTGCCCTGGTAGGTTCTCTTTGTAACACAAAACACTTTTGTTCATACAATTTCCTTAGTAAACTGTCTTTAAACTTAAGTAAAACTAAAATCGTGCTATTCAGAAACTACAATTAAAAACAAGGGTGTAAAGGTTCAAATAGATAGGATTTCAATTGAAAAAGTTGACAAAATTAAAGTTTTTTGGGTGGTAATAGACAATTAAACTTCAAAAAGCATATTAAGCATTTAAAATCTAAACTGTCAAGAAATATTTCAATCCTCAATAAAGCAAAAACCTTTTCTGGATCATATTACACTCCATACTGCATTGATCTTACAATACTCAACTTACTGTTTAGATGGTTGATGTAACAATTACATTACTTCACTGCTGCTGTTGACCATACTAAATATAAGAAAAGAGTGCTATGCATTATTCACAAGGTTAGATATCCGCATCATACCAACTCACTTTTCTTGCAGGCCACATTACTTCGGTTTACAGGTTTGGTTACATTTCACACAGTACAAGGCATGTTTTGTGCAGGATACAACACATGACCAGATAATATATAGAAAAGGTTTAAGTTTTGAGAAGGAGGATATAACTTAACGAGTAACTTAAATTTTAAAACACTACAACACATACCATAAAGAGAACCTTTTCTGTCTTCATATATAAAGTTCAGCTGTGGGATAGTTTAAATGTGAAGCTGAAGCAGTGTGAAAACTTAAAATAACTTAAAGCAAAGTATAAAGAAATGGACTTGGATCAATGTACAGTGGGAATGAAGACAGACATCGATTATTAATGGAGGTATATGAGATTTATGGTTGGCCATAAATTTATTTTTCTTTGTTTGAATCTAAGAGTTTTACTGAATTTGCAATGCAATTCAGTGGTTATTTACAGTTATCATTTTTTTAACTGTCTGGGATTTTGTTTGAGTAAAGAAGAGATATGAATCAACACTGACTGACAAAAAAAAAAAAAAAAAAAAAACTTAAAAGGAAAAGGGAGTGGAATTATATAAGAGTTCACTCTACCCACTCCTTTTTGGACACGGAACTGATGAATACGGGCAGAGGGGCCCGATTATTTATTTATGCTTATTTGTTTGCTCCATCTGTATTTATTTTGTTGATTCCCCTTTGTTGTCTTGCTATCTGATTGTTTTGTTTCTTGAAAATGGTCTGAAACAACATAAACAAATGGAAAACCTGATCTCAAAATATTATCAGTAGACTAACATCAACAGTCCACCATTTTTACATCTTTAAAACCCCTACTGAAACTGACATAGTGGACTGAGGGGACTTTAATATTACCACAGCTTGTTTGTGATGTTAGCTTTTCTTGCTAGCTTTCTTTGTACTGACAAAGATGTGCAACATGTCTAACATTCAACATCTCTTAAGTAATCATGGAGAAATAATGATTTTCACTTTACACTTTGAGGTCAAGATATCACTGTTGTATGATTAGAACAAATAAAAAAAATGTGTTTAAAACATTTCTTTATCTTGTTTTTATAAAACATCATTGGGAGACCTAAGCAGGGATACTGACTACACGATCTGCGATTTCTTGTAGGTCCAAAGTAAGTGGTTTTTAAAACAGGGCAGAATATGATTGTTATTGTTGCTCTGTCATAATGTTGGGAGCCTTACACACTGATCAAACTTTTTAGGACTGTTTCACAATACATTTTCTTAAATTGATGGATTCTCTTCCAGGAAGAAAAAATAACAACTTTAGGGTAATTCCCTTTGGAATGTCTCCTGGTGTTCCCATGCAAATTGACAGCACACTGTGGTAGCGTTCAGAGTGATAATGGTAGTCAAAGTACTGACCTCCATATGGCTGTGGAATAGCCTGTGCCGTCTTTGGCATTTCAGGGTATTAAAACTGCATGAGGACAGTGATAGAAATTTTAAGTGCTTTGACTTCTTTTTTAGTTTACAGTTTAAGTGGAATCAGGCTGATGGTTACGCTGAACTAAAGCATCTGATTACATTGAAGACTATGTGATAAGATGAAGAAAGAGAATAATTCTTATGCAATTTCTATGAAATCTGCTTTGATATTTTTACATAATCTCTTTAATTGGGGTTTTTAATGCATTTCATCCAATCCCTTATCTATATTAGGGTAATTCTCTTGATTCTACACAACCCTATCAGTTTTTTTTATAGTAATTTTAATACTTGAATTTTTAAAACCATCCCATTAAATTCCTGCATATATTCTAAAAACACATTCATGGTTCAGTGCTATTATTTTAGTACTGAGGCATCAGGGGCCTTTTCATACGAGGACAAAGCAGGAAAAAAAGTATCGTAGGCACAAAAGCTATATACACTGCTTTCTGCTGTGCTGTTTGTGTGGAGGTGTCAGAACAGTCATAATGAAGCTCTGCAGAAGAACTGGTGTGCTTTTTTTGTCAAATGAATGTTGCTTCTAATGGAACAAGCTATAGTGCATCTTCAGGGGAAAATCTTTTTTTTCTCCCACAGGTGTAAACTGAACCTGAGGCAGAAAAAGTTTATGTGTGACATTGATCCGAGTGAAATAAACTAATAGACATAGAGCAGATTGCAGAATGAAAACAGATTCTCTTCGGCCCATATTGCATGCATTGTCTCCATGACTTTACATGTCCTGCTGATCCAATGCAGTAGTAAGACAACTTCCTGTTTACTGTTGCTGTACACAGTTTACACTCTGAAGCCCGGATATGTGCAACGTGAACCTGAAATGCGAGGTATTTTCACATTCAGTTCTTAGTTACCTATTAAAAACTCTTTCTTAAAAAACAACACACACATGTGTGCTTAATAAAAATAATACCTGCTTAAACATTTTGTACAGGGTACTGCTTTAAATCTGACAAGACTTATTCAGATGTAGATTTTAATTTACTGAATATGATTGTTGTTTATGCAACTTTTACTAAATCTTACTTCTAATTACTTGTATTATAATTCTTATAATTATAATAATAAGAATTATTATTCTTATTATAAGAAGAACCCTAACCCTAACCCCAAAATTACAATTTAATCCTCTATCTAGTGTCAAATAAAAAAATAATATATATATATATATATATATATATATATATATATATATATATGGACTAAACTTATGCCAGTAAGATATAACCTACACAGGAACTGCAAGGGATCAAAGGAGATTTCTTGAACATTAGTCTTGCTTTGCTGGTATAATACGCATTACAAATAAAGGCAGAACTGAAGAAATATCTAGATCCTCAGCCATAAAAGTCGCCTCCCCCTTATTATATTGTTAGATCAAGGAATTATGTTAGAACTTGCATGGGTTTTGATGTCAAGATTGAAGCATGCAGCCCTGACTTATGTCATCACTTTGCTGGCTTCAGTGATGATCCATATTTTATATTACGATGGGCACCATAAATCAGACTTAATTAGATGGATTTATGCATACACTCAGAAGTGAAGGATATGTCCTTAAAAATAGGTTCAAGTTTTACAGGATAGAAGATCTTTTTAAAAGGGCAACATGGTTCCTTAATAGATCAGACATATCTCATTACTGTGATCTCTGGGAGTGTAAAACTGGCCCCACGTAGTTTGTATTCTAAATTCTATGATTCGACTTAATATGCACTGTCCACTATAGGCAAAACACAAGAATGTATCCAAAACGAGAAAGTGGGTTATGTTTGTGCTTGAATTTGGTTTCTGTTGAAAAATAATAAGCTCTGTTACCTGTGTATTCACCTACTGCTCTGGTTCTGTTGCAGGCCATTTGGGTATTGGCTCAACTACATCCTGTCCATCATGTACTGCAGTGAAAACAACCACCTGGGTTCCTACATGGAGGAGACCCGGAGCTGCTCCTGCCCGTACGAGCATCCCCCCTGCCAGAGTGTGATCCCATGCACAGTAGGGGAGGGATCCTCGTGCGCATCCTGCTCCTATGAAAATCGCTCCCGCTGTGCCACATGCAATCAGGGCTACATGCTGAGCCAGGGCATGTGCCGCAACGAAGTGCCAGACTCCACTGACCATTACATCGGCTTTGAGACTGACCTGCAGGACATGGAGTTGCGCTACCTGCTGCAGAAAAGAGACAACAGAATCAGCATCCATGGGATCTTTGTCAGCAATGATGTCAGGCTGAATAACTGGTTTGACCCATCATGGAGAAAGAGGATGTTGCTGACTCTAAAAAGTAATAAATACAAATCAAACCATGTCCACATGCTCCTGGGCATGTCTCTGCAGATTTGCCTTACCAAGAACAGCACACTTGACCCCATGCTCTCTGTCTACATCAATCCATTTGGGGGGAGTCACTCAGAGAGTTGGATCATGCCCATTGACCAGAACAACTACCCAGACTGGGAGAGGACTAAATTAGATCCTCCTTATGACTGTTTCAACTGGACTTTGACTTTAGGCAATAAATGGAAAACATTTTTTGAGACTGTCCACTTCTACCTACGGAGCCGCATCAGAGGGCCTTCAGGCAATGGAAATGGAAGTGTATATTTTGAACCATTGGAATATCTGGAACCGGGCCAAAATCTGGGCTACATGAAGATCAACAGCATCCAGGTCTATGGCTACAGCATGCACTTTGACCCAGAAGCGATCCAGGACTTAATTTTACAGCTGGACTACCCATATACTCAGGGATCGCAGGACTCAGCCCTACTGCAGCTGCTGGAGATCCGGGATCGGGTCAACAGGCTTTCCCCACCTGGAGCTCAGCCTCTGGATCTATTTTCTTGTCTGTTGCGGCACCGGCTCAAATTGTCCACAACAGATGTTACCAGGATCCAGGCAGCACTGCAGACTTTCAGTGCCAAGCAGCCAAACTCCATTGAATATGAAACAACCAAATTATGTAGCTAGTAAGTTGGCCGGCGGCCAGACGCACAGATGGAGCAGTTATCACACAGGCCTATCAATTGCGAGGAGCAATTCTAAAGCAGTGCAATGGACATTTTGGTGGACTTTGTAATTGACATGAATCTCAACTCCATGACTGAGATTCTCATATCAACTTTTCCTATAAATTTGTATAACATCTTAGAATTGAATAGGTTTTCACCATACATGCCTCATTACTCTTTATGAAAAGGTTTTGCCATTCATGTTATGAATTCAAAGCTTTGTTGTCATATTTTACCAATGTGCTAAAATTTGTAGATTGTAGAAACCTGATTCACTTGCACACATAAAACAGAAACATTATGTTGTGAAAGAACAATCCAACCAGTATTATTTCACAAAAATAATCTCAATACCAGCGTGGTTTCATTTGGCATTAATTTGTTATTTAGTTTGGTATTTCCCTCATCACATGTATTTAAGACAAAAATAGTAGTTTTCATTTCTTATGCGTCGATGGGGCATGTCTTCTTACTTCTTTTTTTTTTTTTTTTACTTTCCAAACAAGGATCATCACGTTTTTTCTAGTCTACAACACATTTTTGTAAGAAAATGCTAAATAGATGCTGTATAATGCAGATTTCTTGAAAGATACAATATAACAGGTTCACAATGTGTTACATGTGCTTTTATTTTTATAATGCTGTTGTTTGTGAAGCAAATGATATGACAACATTGTCTATAAAATGTACAGTAAAATTTGTTAATACACTAAATAAAATACATTTTTATGTGTGGTCTATATCCATTCTGCGTGTTTTAAAAACTGGCTTTTGCTCCATATTGCTAAAGAGAGTGGAGATAAGAAGCATGCAAATAGAATAAGACCAAGTTTTTACAAAAACAATACATTTGACTTTGACTTCACTTTGCCATCTACAGACATTTCAAATATGCAACTTGCACAGTATTGAATGTCCTAACTTGAGGTTTTCGAATAGTGTTTTTTAGAGGTCGTAAAGATTTTAGAACAATTGACTTTAAGTCTTAAAAACAAAAAGTCAATTGTTTGTTGTAAAGTCATTGAAGAAACACCTTTGCTGAGGAGCTGGAGGCGGTGGCTGGGGAGAGGGAAATGTACGCATGTCTGCTGAAACTGTTGCCCCTGCAACCTGGTTCCAGATAAGCAGGTGACAAGTAAGAGTACAATTGATTTTTAATATGTAGAATAAAATGCAAAAGTTTGAACTCATTAAATTCCTAAAACCCACACAAAAGAAAAATATATTTTCACTCAAATATAAACATATTTGAGTGACATAACATGTTTCACTCAAGTATGAGTGAAACATATTCACTCCTAACACTTGAGTGAATGCTAACACTTGTATTGTAGCCCTGAACAAGATCATGTCATATTTCTGAATGTATTTGACCACTTTTTCTGGCAGAATTACTAAAGCTAGTTTAGATTTTATATAACAATAAACTTGTTTACCCATTTTTTTTTAAATAAACAAAGCTTTAAATCTAAATCTTTAAAAACCTGAAGCATAATGTGATTTCATAAGTGCATGTAAGTTGTTCATCAGCAATATAAAGTCCCAAACAAGGTATATTTTTAAGAAATTATTCAAAAGTTCACTTTGTACATTTATCAAAAACTTTGAATGCCTATCTCTCTTTATATCAACTCTTCAAGTACATCACACAAAAATAAAAATGAGTAAATGTGAAACAGAAAAATAAAATGTCAAGAAAGAGTTAATAGAAACAGCAACAGAAAAGGGGGAATGGCGGAAGGGATTGCATTTAGAGAATATAATATAGTATATGTTCATTAGACATTTGTTAAGTGAAATGTATAATAAATGTATTTCAGATAGCTTATGTTTTGGGTGAGGGAGAAAAATATAACAAATTAGACAATAGCAAACTGCAGCTAATACATAATACCAGACATTGAAACAGCAAATTTGGTGCTCTGCTGTAACAAAACATCGCTGGGTTTTAGATCTCTGAGCTTCAGATTTTTGTTGATGGATGGCTGCTTGGGGCAGCGGGGGAGACACAAGAATCACAGCTTTTTATCTCAGGTGTGTCTCACAGTGGTTTGTACTCTGTTGTAATTTGCAGAGGTTTATGTCTTATTCCAAGCCATGAAATAAAAGCATTTCTTTTTGTCTCCAGGTGCTTGTTGCTACAAGTATTATGCTCTTCACAAAACCATTTGCAGGGACCTCTCTGATGTTTAAACATTTCATAGTAGAAAAGCAGCCAATGTGAAAAAGCTGGTTCAGAAACTGAGTTTACCCAGAGAATTACAGATTATAGGCTCATAAGGCAGTGATGCTTCACTGTAAAAGTTTTCTGAAAAATATTAATGGCTTCTTTATGTTAAAATAGTGGAGGGATCATAATAAAATTGCAAAAAGACTACAAGAAGCTTTAAAATAATGCTTTAGCAAGTGTCATGACTAACGTTACTGCAACCTCAAAAGCCACTTGAGATCAACTACTGTGTTATGATCAATCTACAAAATGCAGCTGTCGTGAAGCATTGTAAGTTTTAGTCCTCTAATGGAATCTTCAGTCTTTTCAGGAAAACAAACTAATTTGGCAGTGAAATCAGATTGTTTCTTTTCCATCCTATCTGAGTTATTCCCCTGTAACATAGTAACACTGCAATTACACTGTAGCACCAGGGGGTTTCCCCCTTCCAACATCTAATGGAATACAACATATGCTCCACCATGTTTATAATGTCTAGTATTGTGCTATTGTTTATTGTTCTATGCTGATTTAGTGAAAATTAGTCAAGCATTATAGCAATAAAAAGTAACATCAGGACGGGTTGTTTTTCTCTATTCGAAAGACTGACCAAAGTAACTTTTGTGTCAAAAGAAAGAAATTATCATTTTGATCTACTAGCGGTTCTCAACGTGGGCGGTACTGCCCCCCGGGGGGCGTTCAGAGGATGGCAGGGGGCGCTGGCGGAAATTTTTACAAAAGGGGGGCGCTGGGATTCCTTTGGGTTATGACGATTAGGCGGCGCAGCAAGTGATGAGTGAAGATTACGAGTGGTGAGCGTCAATAAACGATAAGTGATGCCCCTCCTGAAAGCTCTGGTTTGCATAATAAATGCCACGTGGGTGAAATTTAATGGATGATACTCTGATGTCCCATTCTCCTGAAGGCAGCACAGAGCTGCACCACCAGAAACTCACAGAAACACTGAAGAGAAGAAGAGCTATGATTGATGTAGTTACAGTTCTATCCATGTTTTAATGTTGCAGAGCTCAGTCGTTTTGCAAATACATCAAAGTTTAAACTGGCATGTTGTTCATCTTTTATCTGGTCATTTTGTGGAATATTTAACAACTAGAAAATGGCACAGAACAACAATATTTTTTCCACTCTGATTGGTTGCTGTTAGGCCTACCGATTTTAAGTTGAATGTTCATTCATTGCATTTTTCATAGACACCTGTGAAAATTTCCATTCACATGGGTTTTTTGTTCACTGCGAAATTATTTTTAATGATAAATACAGAAACAAGCATAAAAATCAAAACAGCTACGATAGTGATAGTAATATTAATAGTAAAATAATAGTCCGTGCAAAGTAGCCTACAAATTCTTTGGTGGAGGCGGTGAGGGATCTGGATATGGGATAGGGGGCGCTGGCCCAAAAAAGGTTTAGAAACACTGTTATAGACCAAAATGAAAACAGGGAAATAAGCATGAAGTGATTTTTTTCTAGTTTAGCTCACTAACCACCATACCATCTTAACCCCAAATTACTAACAACCTTGGCAGATTATAGTTTGAAATTGTTTTATTAATCTAAGAATTGTGCTTCTTTCAAAAGATAATAAAGCAATGTAGAAGCTGTATTAGCTTAAAAATATATTTTTCATTAAATTATACTTCAAGAATTATTTACACGCTTCAGAATATCTGAGGATAAATCTTGGAATTAGAGTAAACAAAATCCTTCTTATAGTTGAACGCAAGTTTTGTGTAAGTTTCCACTGGAGTTTTGACCCTTTATTTTTGATAATAGGTTTCAAATTTGGGACTGGAAGGGCTCCCCGCCATCACCCTAAATTATATGTAATGTAATCGAAGCACATAGACATGGCAAAGTTGTCTTTGCCATGTTTATGTGCTTTTCTACTTTTCTACAATAATACAATACAAAATAAGAAACACAGAAAACATGCTTATCTTGAAATGCATGAAGATTCTGAACAGTTTTAGAGTAGAAGTATATCTCCACCAGTTAGGCTTGCCTTTCCTATCCATTGTTCTGTTGTTTTATTCTAACTTAGCTTAAGATGGAGAGCAAATAGTATGACTCTTTTGAATATGTACTTCATAGGTCAGCACACAAGCTGCAATCAAATAAAATACTCAAAGTGACCTCTGAAGTTGCAGCTCTTACTTCAGCAGAAGGAAAGCATTTTTCATAATGCTGAAAATGTGGCACTAAAACATAATGTTAGAGGATAAAAGGGAAAGAGCACCGTCTGCACGGAATATAGTGGGTGAAGGTGACAATATAATTATTATCTCAATGCCAGATTCACAGTGAAAAGAATCCCCCTGAAAGTTGCAGTAGGCGGTGAGACATGATATCCCAGCCTGGCGGAGGCTGCTTGTGACTTTTAGAGAAACCCAAATGAAAAAGTGCAAGTTGTTCAGTTTACATTAACATTTTACATCAACTTTCAGAGACATCAAGGAGATGTTGAGGTAATTTAACATTCATATGACATACCTACACTGAACTTGAGATGAATGTTTTGAGAACAAATGTTTAGTGGTATAAATTATTTTCATGCACAGTATGCTTCCTTGCCAGAGGGCATAAGTGAATCTAATTTAGCAGCAATAAAACTAAATTAATGGACTACAAGCATCGGAGCACATAAAGAACTAATTCCATCTGAAAGTAGCTTTAACCGAAAGAATATGTAATTGCGAAAGAGGCCTATAAAAATTGTGATTTGGTCGGCCAAATGCAAATGTGTTCTTACGTCTGCTCTGCTAACTTGTTCAGCCACGACACAGAAAACATATGGGGAGAAGCACTTTTCCTCAAATGATCAGATTTTATACAGCAGTCAATACCCAAGTAGAGAGATGCAAACTAGGAAAGGTTGTAACTTATAAATGAGTTTTAGCCTGTTTAATCAATGTAAAAATTCTGATGGATTTGGTAAATTTAGATCAATATTATAGGTAAGAATAATATCATGTGAGATCTTTGGCAAAAATAAGCTGGATGACTTCAAAGACTATGACTCAGAGTGTCAGGACTGCAGTATTATGTATGTCACTGAGGATCCAATACCTGACTCCATTGTCTCTCTGCTGGTCTCTCTGACCATACAAGCAGACAAAGATTTGCAAAAGCAAAGTGGGAAGACGAGCAGTGCTTGTGAACAACAGAGGGTGTTTTAGCAACCTCTTACATACTATCAGCAGTTGTCGACACCACCTGTGTTGTAATCATCTCAGTTTTTGCTAAGGCCTGTAACACTGACCACTACTACAGAATCATCTACAACCACTTTGAATGAACTCGTGTAATATGAGTTACAGAAAGATTTAATTTTCCTCTATGATTAATTAAGTAATTTTGAATTTAATTAAATTTAAATCAGCAATTAACCTACGCTCAAGACATAGTGTTTACATACTTACCGCAATAGATTGTAGACTCCTTTCTGACATCACAATGTTTTATGTGAAAGGAGAGTCAAGTCTTATTAACTTATATCATTCTTGCCTCTAATG